TTATTTATTTATTTCTATTTGTACCCCACCTATCTGGTCAATACGACCAGTTCTATCACAAATGCAAAACCTGGAGGACATAGTTTTAAAACAAATATTATTTAAGTATTTGTGCATTCTTAAACTTTTGTGTGTTTTGCTTGCCCCCAGTTCAGTAAGCAATGTATATGGATTAAACTAGAAATTCAGCAAGCGGAGCTTTTCCTGTTAAGGGCCTGCATGCTGAGAAAAGCATCACTTTGTGCATTTCTTGTTAAAGGCACAGGAACCCTGCCAAGAAAACAAACAAGCAAGCAAGCAAACAAACAAACAAATAAATATTGGCCACCCTATAGTTCCTAACCAGAACAAAGAAAGCCTTAAACCATGCCAGACCATCTCATTCAGTGTGATCTACATCAGGGTAGGCAACCTAGTGCCTTCTAAAAGTTTTGGACTACAATTCCCATTAAGGACACATTAAGGCATGTGGGGTACCAATTGCCTGCCCTGGTAGTGCACTGATGGGGCAGTGGCGCTCCAGTGTTTCAACCAGGAGCCCCATCCAGTCTTTCCAAGAGAAGCCAGAGGTACAACATGAGACCTTTTGCGGACAAAGGCATGGGCTTCACCTTATACAGTGGCCACACTGCTCACCTGGCTCTCAAATTCTTCTCCTTGCTTCAACTCCTGAGGGAAGCCATCCATCAGGAACCCCTTGGTATCTCCTGCACTGGCAAACATAGCTTCTTTCAGGAGCTCCACAACAACATCCTTAAAGGTAAAAGAAAGACAACATTCTTTTATCAAGGGCTCACTTTGAATGCCGAAGCACCTTAACATGAAACACAGATATCACACTCTCATCCTCTTGCTCCCACTGGCTTTAGACATCTCTTCAAGCATGTGCGCACAAACATGCATGCGTGCAGACACACATACAGATCCTTTCTGTATCTACTGAAATGCTGAAAAATCCTCACAACTGCCAGCTCTGAGCTCAAATGCATTTGCAGGCAAAAGGATGCTAAAGAGTGAGAAGCAAAATACCATTTAAAATATTACTGGAATTTATTTATTTTTTTTTTAAAAAAAGCATGCACACACACTGCATAGTCAGATTCATCACACTACAAAGCATGGGCTTTTTGTAAGAAGGAGCTACTAAAACACACTAGACAAAGAGAACACTCCTATGATGCTTTAAGGGCTAACCTGCTTATTGTGTTGCAACTTGAAGGTGCCAAAAGAATCTCTGTCCAAAGAGTCTGTCCAGCCCAGTCTGGTTTTCAGAAAAGTATTGGGGAGAGAGACTCACACAGCTTCCCTGGGCTTCCTTCTCTCAAAAAGCTGACAATTGTACCTCCATCTTTTCCTACCCACAACTCCTCTGGCACCATAGTATTATTGCTGGTTGGTTGGATGCATTTGTGTGTGTGCCTCTCTCTCTCTCTCTCTCTCTCTCTGTGTGTGTGTGTGTGAAGAACAGATCTGTGGTCAGAACCCTTCCCTATCTGAGATCACAGCTTACCTCTGGCACAAGCTCGCCACTCTCCTGTGTGTGTGTGTGTGTGTGTGTATAGAACAGATCCGTGGTCAGAACCCTTCCCTATCTGAGATGACAGCTTACCTCTGGTACAAGCTCGCCACTCTCGATGGTATCTCGAATGGTCTTGCTCCTTTCCATTAATGATGGCATCTCACGTCGCATGAGCTCTTCAGCAGACAGGTGTTGGAATCCATATTTCTGTGCTAATTTCTCACACAGGGTTCCTTTCCCAGACCCTGGGCCACCTTTTATGGATAGGCAAAAGTTAGAATCCCAACAGCCACCTCAGCAGCAGAGCAAATGAGAAGATATTAATCACTGAAACGGGAGTAGGGTGGAAGTGGAGGAAACAGAGCCCTTCTGCATTCTCCAAGCCCTGGTTTCATTTGTTGAAGTATTATTGTGAAAGTATTTGCAAGCTAAAGCTATCCACTGATTTTATGAAAATCCACCCATGCCCCACAGAATGACCAAAAGCCAACAGCTCAGCAGTTGCCCAGAAACTAGTTCTGGGGGTCATCCTACAGCTTCAGAACAGGTTCCTTGGCAGGCACAGGGAAATAAGAGATTATTTACCCTCTTGCTTCCAATGGATTTGGCTGTTCTACCCATGGAAGCCCACCAATGGAACTTGCCCAGAATCTAAGCAGTCAGTACAAATTGCTAAGAGTGGAAGTTATGTAACCTAAGCCAGTTTTCAGTGAGGCATCTGTTTTCTTTTCAGAAAAAAAAAAGGTAGAAGACATTACAAATTGTACAGAAGTAATAGGATGTTTTAGGGATATTATTGTGTAGAGGGATTTGTTTTACATACTTATGACACCAGGAGACAAGAAAGAAAAAGGCAAGCTAATTGCAAGAAAGACAGTTTCCCTGCATTTCAAAAGTGGTCAAAATGCAACAACTAGATCCCTCTAGAGTAGACCCACTGGATCAAAGGCTTTGTTACAAATGTTGACTTAAGAGCCAGCAACTGATTCAATGGCCAGCATTCTACTCATTCAGAGCTCTATTGAATGAGTGGTGGGCCTTCCCCACACTTTGGACAAGGAAGTATCTACGGTAGTTAGATATTGTGCAAACATAACTTCTGTTGAAATGAAGACCATCTCCAGTTTGCACAGCACCAGGGTGGAAACTGCAAAAGCTCTGCAGTTGGAGCGTTAGGCTCCATCTTCTGTGAACAGAATATTGTCCGATGGTTGGGATTAGCAATTAGATTTAGGCCACAGCCCATAGCCGAGGCTTTCAAATAATCACAAGCCTTGTAGAGAATAAGAATCATTTCCAAGCAAGTAGTTTTGTAAACTGGATGATTATGAGATGACTCCATTATTCTTCTTTCTTTCCATTTTCCCAAGTACAGCCTCAGGCAGTTCTTGTATCCCAAGTGATCAACACTGATATACACAGACAGGAAGGTCAGTAATTCTTTTGAGCTTATTTGCGGGGCCATATTTTGACACAATTCTGCCACCACCACAGATTTTCTCTACTATTTCTGCTACAAATGAGGCCACTGCTGACAGACTATTTCGAAGCAGCAAAGGAGAAGCACCTGCCTTCCACTCAGTCTGAATTGGACCTGATTTTTAATTGGGTTGAACCATTCATCATTATGGTCTCAGTCAAACTCATGAAGCCGTTATTGGACCATAGGGTTTACATAACTCCACATGTCAGCCTCTTAGTCTCCACAGGAATAGATCTATCCAATAATTACACCGAGGGCAATTATTGCATATGCCAACTGGTAGGGGAAGAGATTACTGTTTTTCGTGTGCTTATGTGTGACAACATGTCAACTTTATAACTACAGTTAACACTTGCTGAGAAATGATAACCGTTGTGAGTGTATGTGGGTGGCCGATGCTGCCCATTTACTATTCTGGAACGCTATATTGTAACAAAAAGCCAAAGCTGCAAGGGCACAAACAAGAAATGAAGATCAGTGGACAAGAGACAGCTAATTGCCACCTACTGCATGACTTGTTACAGAGAATGAATGTGAAAACTTGTTTCTTCCCTCATGAAAAACGAGGAGCCTGATCATCAAGAAACAAGATCTAATGGAAGGATCTTTTTTAGATTTGTTTGTTCTTTCTGTCAGTTTCTTCACAGTAATAACAACCTGTGCCTTAGAAAAAGGGTGTAAAATACCTTTCCACTGAGTGATAAAATAAGCTTAAAAGCCCAGCTAGAGCTGTGGAATGGTCCTTTCCTTCAAATTCTTTTCTTATTCCTCAAAGCAAAGTCAACTTTTCAATTAGCATGCATTTCCAATTGCTTCCAAATGTAAACAAATGTACTGTACTATAAACCAAAGAAGACCTCAAAGGAGTTCAGTGTTCAAAATTTTAAAGCTTTTTGGTTCATTTCAACCCAAGTCCTTTGGCATCAAAAAATGACAGATTTGCAGCTGGGCTCAAAAGGAGGACTGACATTTACGCTCCTCTAACACAACAGGAGTGATGAATTTGTTCCTGAGGCTCTCACTTGGTGCCATCATTTGTTGCTTCACTGCTTTTTGGATAAGGGTGGCCACGGGGAAGCTCTTTTTACAGTCTGTAACAGGCTGAGGCAGTTTTGAGAGACTCCATTTTCCCCTCTGTGAGGGAAGTGGCAAAAATAAATAAATCAAATCTGGGTTTCCAGATTTGATGTGCCTTTCCTTTTGGGATGGGAATACCTGTAATTTGTGCAAACAGAAACCATTGCTCCTCAGTGCCTCCATGAGCAGCAGAACACTTTTTGTCCTACATAAGAAAAATATAGGAGTTGTGGAGGAGTGAAGGCTTCAAAACAACTGGGGGGGCATACATGACCCACAGGCTTTACAGAGATCACATTTTGTCTGCTCCTTGTCTATAGCATCCTCTTCCATTTGGCTTGTCCTACCTGGAGTAAAACAGCCACAATTAAGATTGCTATCTTCATATACCATTCCACTGAAACCGAGTAGGTTCCCCCCTCCACCCCAAAACCCTGTTGATACCCACTTGTTATAATTTTGTGTATTGAATGTGCCACTTTGATTGCAAAAAAAGAGATTATGCCCTTAACAATAGGAGAATTTGTTAAGAATTAGTATCAATGATGTCTCTCATGGTCAATAAAACCTTCCAAGTAGAGAAAGAAGTATAAAACATACCAATATTTTCTCTCAGAATCAACCCTGTCAGTAGACAGAGTGAGGAAATTGCCTCAGGCAGCATGGGGCAGCCTCCTGACTTTTCCTCCCCACACCCCACTCACCTACCAATTCTCTTCTATTGGAGAACAGGCTGTCTAGGCTTCACAACTTGTCTGTAGCTCATTACACAGCCCAAAGTGCCTCAGATTCCTTGGTGAACACTATGCCATCAGTAATGTTATGCATTCATGGCATAACAACATATAATTTCCTTCCTGGTTGCACAATGGCAATAGGACCATGAGCCCTCCTTTACAGATTGTGATCAACACGCATAGTAAATTCTGAATGCCTCAGCAAGGAGTATCAGCAGTGGCACAGCCTACCAGCTCTCCATTGCTGAGCGCATAGTTCCTAGTCAAACATAAAAAAAACAGCATGTGAAGCCCCAGGGAGTTGCTGTCACAGAGGGATGCACCTCTAGGAAATCAAGCAATATTCCTCTCTCTGAGCAGGCGCTTGCTAGACTGAAATCTATCATTTTTTGCTTCCCTTTAAAAAAATAAAACTGAAGTGGGGCATGTAAGTGTTTCTAAATGTAAAAGTTTAAAATGGACCATGCTACATGCTATAAATTCCAGCTCTAATGTCTGCAAAACATTTTGGATAAGGAATAGAATTTGTTTCCTTCGCATCCACAGAGATTAATGAATGCAAGCTAGTTGTGGGATTGTATAAGCTCATGCTAAATATGTGGCTGTGGGAATGGAGTCCTGAACAATAAATCAGGCTACATGTTGACTGCAATTTAGCTCTTTAAAAAAATAACTTGTTTGTACTAAGCCTGGCACACAGGCACCTCCAACTGCTCTTAAAGCCTTAACAATCAATAGCCTACATCTGTTCTGAAGATTTAACTTGGCTGGAAATACATGTGATGCGCTTATGTGCATGAAGAAATGAGATACAGAATGCACCCCGGTGTCCTTTCTTAAACAAGGAGGGAAAGGCAAATATTTATTAATGTATTTAGATTTTTATCCCTTCTAATCCAAAAGCTCTGAAAGAGAAATGATACACTGAAATCCGCTTAACAACAGATTAAAACACCTGAAATAGGAAAAAGGTGCATCTTATTTAGATCAGTGTTGAGTATATGTTACACACTTTCCTGTGCATGTGATATTATATTGCTACCTTATGCTACTTTTCATTGTATTTTTGTTTTATAGTCACATCTGGATATATCTGCTGGTCAGTGACCATAATAAAGCTCATTCATTCATTCACTTTCCTATACTGTCACAATTTTTATCCTTTTGACTAGTTTTACACCAGTGTTTTGACTGGATTGTATTTCCAGTTAGTGTTGAAAACTATCCAGGGGCCTTTTTGAACAAGTGTTTTGAATTAATTAATCTGCCCTTCCTCGTCATTTCTAGCTCAGCACACACACTCCACAACAAACCCCAGCCTATATAAATGTACAAGAGGTGCCCCATGAAAAAAAGGATTATTCTGGCTGTTGTGCAAAGCAACCTGGAGAAGAGGTTTTGTCTGTATAGCATAAACACTATATCATGGGCAGGCAGTAGATGAGGTTTCAGATGTTGCAGGACTAAAACCTCAATCATATCTCACTATTAGCCATGATGGCCAGGACCGGAGCAAATTGCAGGCATGGGAATTGCAGTTCAGCAGCTGGAGAACCAAATTTTGCCCACTCCCTGCTCTACAGACTCTCTTTATAATCTCTCCCATAGCATCTAGTCCAAAGCTAGTTTTAGCCCACGTGAAGTGATGCACATTTGCTTATACCAATATCCCAGTAATACTTTTATTAAGAGAGTAAGCGACTCTACGCCCATGCACTCGTAAACTGAATATAGCAAGACAGACAAAGACTTAAATTGCTTCTATAACAATGTAGGATAACCTGTTAAACTTCTGGATGTATTCATTAGAAATTTACCTTAGAAAGAAGGGCCACGAATGCCGAAATAAAATCCTTTGGAAAAAAAGAGTCACTTGGATTTAGAAATGTGTAACAGTGGTGGTTCAAACCAGATCTTGGAAATGTAACCAATAGTTGCTGATTTGCCATGTGCTGTC